CTATCGGTGATTCAAGGCGCGGGTTCGCGGCTTATCGGCAGTCGAAACACACGATCCTCATCACAGCGTCTCTCCGCGTGTCTGTTCAGCGCCCGACGCGCCTGACCGAGCCGCTGCTCACCCGCGACCGACGCCCGCTGCAACCCGACGCTGAGACCGAGCCACCGTGCGACCGAGGTCCGTTTGACGTGTCGATTAGAATCAACTAAAGGTCAAATCTATCCGCCCATTAGATTGTGGTGTTCAGACGAACTTCATCAACGGTACTCAACATCGTCTCAAAGTCAGCAAAAATTTTAAAAGGTAAACGTCCATATCCTAACTATAGATTCCGCTGCGTTAGGATTTATTTCAATAAGTTCAATACTATGCATGTTGTTTGACGTTTCTAGCAGAACCCAACAACTGGTATCAGAGCCCAGGCTTAATGCAAACTCGTGCACAGTTTGAATTTTGGACTTTGCCTATCTACATGAATTATGTGCGTACGGACGTAGCGGCATAGTAGATTAGAAATTGCAATAAGTTTTTGCAGGTTTTCGAATCCGACTATTGTGGCCCGTATGTATGGGCTTTAATTCATGTTGAATGTATGTTGTTTTTAAAGCCTTGGACATGTCAATGAATTTTTGGGTTGGTGAATGCTTGTAATAAATTATTCGCACGGTGGGACACCGCATAGTTTATTGCTTTCATAGAAACTCATGTACGGCTCCTGCGTGGGTCATAGGATGAGTTATGTAATTGTTTTGTATTATTCGTTATTGATCCGGCGGGTGTGGACCAACCTTGACGGGGCGATGCGATAAACACGTACACGGATGCCATGGTGATGATCCAATGGCGACTTTCCCAGAGACAACCAATTCAGTGGGAGTCACTGCGAAAGGGGAGTTCCAATACCTGAAATGGAGGACACACTCAACAAGGACAGGACTGTGTTTTCTCCGTAACATTGGAGATTGATTAATGGCCATGATAGTTGGATTATAGTTCCTAGTTTATTATTGCTCATTAATCATGCATGTTTTATGTGATTGCTTATGTGCAAAAACAATCATGTTTTCGAAGATCCCATAAAATAAAAATTATATTAAGTGTGTAATGGGTTGAAATAAATTACATCCAAGGCCTCCATTATAGGTTTGTCAATGAAGTGATTTAATTCGAGTCCAAAGGATGTTTTATTTCACAGTTCACAAGGACGAATCTCCTTCGGGATGGTTATAGTGAGCTATTCCAAAAGCGTACGGGTCACCCAAAGGTGGACGTATAATTTTGGTAGTAAACTTAGTACCAACTAATGGGTTACACTTAAAGTGAAAATGATTACGATAGCCCCAAAGGATAAGGTCGTTTTTATTCTTTTATAAAGTTAATTGCGCTGGCCAAAAGATGAAACCGACTATTAGTTAAATTGTAACGCCCCACTTTTATTTGATGAAAGTCAAGGATTTTTAAAAAAAGTCAACTT